CATTTTGTTCAGCTTCGGCCAAGAATTTTAATTTCGGTGCATCCCTATATAGATGGACACTCGTGTGTCAGGGTGTGTGTTTTTACCTGGTTGGTGTAGAGGAGGGCTCAGCGCTGCTGGCGGGTTTGTCCTCTTCAGTCGCGCTCTCAGACGGGGTTTCTGAAGAAGGGGTCGGGGTTGTTGTAGTGCTGGAGGAGGCTGCACTGGCCGCTGTGGCAGCAGATGAAGGGACCGATGCAGGAGCCGCTTTAGGCTGCAGGAGAAACATCCCATTACTCACAACTTCACACTGACATCACATGCACGAGCTCATTAACATATCACATAACATCTATTCTGTGTTCAGTAACTAAGCGAGGACTACACAAAACTCATTTACAAATACACATCTTGTAAAGTACAGCATCAAAACGAGTTTAGTCAACAGTTAGTAAGGGTCATAAAGACGGTGAAAAATAATCAGGAGAATCTAAATCATGACTCATCTTTTTTGTTTTTATATGAATAACTCAAAAGTAGGTTGTACACAATCAAATCACATCACAGTATGGACCAGTGTCCAAGAATTTATCTTCCATGTTTTAAGTTGAAAACTGTTGTGCAGCACTTTGTTTGCCAAAAACAAAAGGAATTGCTCAATTTTCATTTGATTGCATTCTAAAAGATTGATTACATTTTTAATAATTTAATTTATTACCATTTTTATGCAATACATGCACATTAAATTATTAATCCAGGAAAATTAAAACAAATAAAAATGTTATTTGATTGCATTCTAAAAGATTGATTAAATTTTTAATAATTTAACTTAATTATTACCATTTTTATGCAATACATGCACATTAAATTATTAATCCAGGAAAATTAAAACAAATAAAAATGTTATTTGATTGCATTCTAAAAGATTGATTAAATTTTTAATAATTTAACTTAATTATTACCATTTTTATGCAATACATGCACATTAAATTATTAATCCAGCAAAATTAAAACAAATACAAATTTTATTTGATTGCATTCTAAAAGATTGATAAAATTTTTTATAATTTAATTATTACCATTTTTATGCAATACATGCACATTAAATCATTAATCCAGGAAAATTAAAACAAATAAAACTTTTATGAATTCAACTGATTAGACACTTTTTGATAATGAAAATTGAATTAAACCATTAAAACTAGGCTAAATCCAGAAAAATAAAACAGACTTAAGGAAACATAAAACCAATTTCACAGGGCTCTAAAAATGACGTTTCTGTTGAACTTTTATTAAACTCGTGTAAAAATGCACAAGTTTCATGATTTCAATTAATTACACATGCTTTCTGATTATTAAAACTAGGGCTGCACGATAAATCGCATGCGATATTTAACGCGCATCTTATCAGTAAAGCCGGTTCTGTAATCAGCGGTAAATCTCCATCACCTGCGGGCTTTCACATTGAGCAGCATTAACTACACAGAGCTGTTGTTCACTGACGAGCTGCGCAAAAAATAGCGAATATGAACGTGGTTTTGCGCAGCTCATCAGTGAACAATGGCTATCGCATGCGATTTATCGTGCAGCCCTAATTAAAACGGAATTAAACCATTAAAACAGAAAACATGGAATTTGGGAAAAATTAAACAGACTTTAGGAAAAAGTAAAACCAATTTTATAGGGCCCTAAAAATGTTGTTTTTGTTGAACTTTTATAAAATTTCTGTAAAAAAGTTTCATGACTTGTGGAGGGATGGAATCAGGGGCCGGAATTAGCCAATTTTCTGCATAACCGGCGGATATTTTATACAATAGTAGTTCAATAAACAAGAAGTTAAAATCAAGTGGCTTACATTTTAGACACAATTTTGACTGTCTGTGCTCAGTTTCGCTGATGAAAATAGCTCCAATCAAAGCCACAGCAGAATTGTTTTGTGTCTCCGAGCAGTGTTTTGTTACTGAATGAATCCACGTTTTTGAACAAATCAAGCGAGTCAATGATTCAGTAACCCGTTCATTAAGACAGAAGTCACTTGCCTCGTTTCTGAATGAATCAGCCGTTTGAACAAATCTGTTAAAGGACTAAATGACTCACTCATTCAAACAGTCATTTGCCGCCACCTACTGGTTTGTTTCATATTTAAAACCATCATTGCATTTTCCTCAACATTTCTTATTTGTACGCTTAAAAAAAAATGTTTAAAACATTAATCTTATAACATTCTTTATGCATTCAGAATGTTGCAGTGTAAATGCATTTATGGCAGCTCAGCTTCATCAAACAGTCTGTAAATACATCTAAAGCCACTTCAGATGCAGCTTCTGTGGAAAGATGGAGTTTGTTGATACTGATTTAATTTGAATGGTAACAGCCCTAGTTTCTTATTATTCTAACTGAAACAATGTAAGAATTTGATGACATTTAATAAGTGAAAAAATGACAATTTAAGAAACAGTGGGAAATGACATCCGTTTTCAGTTCATTGTTATTTCTACCTCTTTTCTAGTCATAGAGCACTTTATTTTGAGAGTTGTTTAGGTGAGAGAACATCTGTAACTTTGTCCAGATTGGGGGAATTGTAATGTTTAATCATTTTTATTACGTAAATAATTTTTTGTGCATTAAAAAATAAAAGCATAGATTTTTGTTTATATATGCTGTCAATTATAGTTTTTAGAAAGAAAATCAGAATCGGCAAAAATCGGTATCGGCAAGTCACACTAACAAAAAACAAACAAACAAAAAAAAATCGGAAATCTGAATAGGCCAAGAAAATTGCAATCGGTGCATCTCTAAATATAACCATTAAAACAGAACACAAAAAAAATAATAAAATAAAAAAGGGAAAATAACAGATTTCATATGTCCCTACAACAAGCAATTGTCCAAAAATGGCCTCAATCTCAATCAAAGCAATTAAACTTTTCACTTCACCCATTTACATAAGCTTTCAAAATTCCTCTTGAATATTTCAGGATTTTATAGACGTCAAGAGTCACATGCATCAAACTCTGCAGCAGAGAAGCAATTGCACGCAAGCGGAGAGAAGACTGATAATGCCTCACCTTTGCTACCATAATCACCACAAAGTTCTTCTCATCTATCTTGTACTCCTTGAGAGCCGCGTCATCGTTCAGGATTTTGCCTGCAGGGGACAAAATGATTAAAATAAACGAGCCGTTATTCGTCCGCCCGCAGCTCTCGCGTCTTGTCAGTCATTCATCAACAAATGTCAGAATGATGCTCCTGCATGATTGTACATTATCACTGCGTTTCACACGATAATACAGAATAAGATGATGACAAATCAGGGTCACATCCTTATCAGCTGGAAACAGACGCCATACAGTCACACCTTATCGAACGCTGAGGACGTACCTGCATATATCAACTTCTGTCCCACCACCGGAAAGTTATCTTTTCCCTTTTCATTCTCTATTTTTTCCTTTAAGGCCTTTACCTGTGAAAGACAGAGCAGGAGAAAACAAATCAAAGTCCGATCCGAGAGAGCAAACAAGCACACAGACGCTCTTCCAAGGTTATTTTCGTAAACGAAAACTAAGACTAAAACTATTGGTCAAAAAACATTTTCGTAAACTGAAATAAAATTAACATTTCAAAATAAATGAACAACTAAAACTAAACGAAACTAACAACAGTAACTGAAAAACTAACTAAAATCAAATAATAATTAGCAAAAAGAAATAATCGTGTTCGTGATTTTCTCATTCTGTGCCAGAAAATCTGACCTGTGGTTGTTTAGGGAAATACCTGTAGATGGCGCTTCATGCACATGAGCTGAATCCTATTCTATTCACAGAGAATGCATTTAAAAAACAAGACGCGGGAAATGAAATGGGAAATAACTATAAAATATAAAATATGAAATGGGAAATAATAATAATGCACACCTTACAGCGGACGGACGTTTAAAAGCGTGTTTGACGTGCGAGAACAACATGAGAGTGAGTTAACAGACACAGAATTACAATTTTTGGATGAGCTGACTTTAGTGAATAGTCATTTTGTCGCGCTTTACGATTACTATAGCAACGTCCGCCTCGAGTCCATGACACGAGCACCGCTTCGACTGTACAAAACACATCCAAAATGAGAGAAATTAATGCACTGAAAACACAGATGGACAAAAATAAAGTTTACAGTTTCAATGACGATTACAAAGAACAGGTTTCCTCAAATCCAGCACTGGAGGGTCATTGTCCTGCAGAATTTAGCTCCAACCCTGACAAAAACTCAGCTGCCTGTAGCTTTCTAGTAACTCTGAAAACCTTTACATATAAGTTGCATATTTTTTGCTTTTTGTTCAATTGTAAAGAATCATTTTATTTTCATTATTAAAGGGTTAGTTCACCCAAAAATGAAAATTAGGCTGCGTTTTACTCACACATCCTAGGTCACTTCTGAGCGACGCATGTGCAACGCTGAACTCATACGCCATGCTCCCGAAGCTGCTTCCGTGTAAAACAGTGAGCGCAAGCTAGATTAAAGTGATTATTACGTTTTGAATATGGATATTTTTCTTACAAAAACGCATCGATTCGCTACAGGAGTCTTTACAAATCCTCGTTTTGTACTTCTAATTAGTGACCGTTGTTTTGTTTTGATCTCTCCGCTGTGCTTCCGTGTTCGTCACTTCTGAGCGACGCATGTGCAACGCTGAACTCATACGCCATGCTCCCGAAGCTGCTTCCGTGTAAAACAGTGAGCGCAAGCTAGATTAAAGTGATTATTACGTTTTGAATATGGATATTTTTCTTACAAAAACGCATCGATTCGCTCCAGAAGGCCTTTGTTCACCCCCCGGAGCCGTGTGAGACACTTTTTTTTATGGATGGGCGCTTTTTATTTCAGGTCTTTTGGACTGAAGCATGCAACACCCGCTGACTGAAATGACAGAGCTTGAAAGATCAAAGACATTTTAAAATATAACTCCGACTGGATTCGTCTGAAAGAAGAAAGTCATATGCTCCTAGGATGCCTCGGGGGTGAGTAATTTATGGGCTAATTTTCATTTTTGGGTGAACTAACCCTTTAAGAGGTTTGCAAAAGAGTTAACTAAACTGTGCAAATATTCAACTTTGCTCAAATTAAATGTCTTGCTTTGGTCTACACTGGAAGTGTTCCATTAACTCTGCTAAACTACAATTACTAAAACTGAAACTAAAATATATAAAAACTAAATAGAAATGTGTTCACAACATAAAAACTAAACTAACAAACCCATTAATGAAACTAACTGAAACTAAACTGAAATTATAGGAAATTTGAAAATGATATTAAAATAAAAACGAATTTAAAAATTCAAAACTATAATATCATTGGGTCCGGCTTAGCGCTAAAACCAGCTCAGAGTTTGAGCACGACTGCTGTAAACCTGTAAAACCAGGTTTGTTAGGATATGACAATATTTGAAAATCTGGAATCTGAGGGTGCAAAAAAATCTAAATATTGAGAAAATCATCTTTAAAGTTGTCCAAATGAAGTTCTTAGCAATGCATATTACTAATCAAAAATTAAGTTTTGATATATTTACGGTAGCAAATCTACTAAATATCGTCATGGAACATGATCTTTACTTAATATCCTAATGATTTTTGGCGTAAAAGAAAAATGGATAATTTTGACCCATACAATGTATTGTTGGCTATTGCTACAAATATACCCCAGCGACTTAACACTGCTTTTGTGCTGCATTTGTTCAAAGTAAATGAGTGTGTAGGACATTAGTTAACATCCCAAACGACAAAACAACTATTCCAATATCTGATCTGACCGTGTAGACTGAAACATTTACAAAACTTCAATATCAATCGGATCTCAAAGCAAATATGGAAGTGGTTTGGACCGGATCCGACGCGGCTGTTTGCACTCCAAAAAACAACTGACTGGAGCCAGAAATGGAAAGCTGGTCAAAACGTTTGCTGCTTTCCTGAGAAAGAGTATTTCTAAGAATAAGCTGTTCCAAACAGGAAGTGTGGACTAAACCCACCGAGTGTCTTCCTTCATAAAGGTCCAGCTGACTTCTGACCCATCCGAGGAGGATCGCGTCTTATTTAACTGCACAAATGTGCCGTTTGCCCCAGATAAAGAGTTTTTAAGGGCAGATGGGTAAAAATAAAAAAACTCTTCTGTAAACTGTCAAAGTTTAAAGGAATAGTTCACCCAAAAAACAATTCTGTCATCATTTACTCACTTTGAAGTCATTCCAAAACTGTACGAGTTTCTTTCTTCTGTTAAACACAAATGAAGATATACACTTAACTAAGAAAACTAAGTTTTGTAATGTCTCTTCTGCTCACCAAGCCTGCATTTATTTGATACAGCAAAAAACGTATTTAAAATAACTGCTTTCTATTTGATTATGTTTTAAAATTGTATTTATTCCTGTGATTTCAAAGCTGAATCATTACTCCCGTCACATGATTCTTCAGAAATCATTATGATATTCTGATTAGCTGCTCAAAAAACATTTATTAATATTACTATTGTTGAAAACAGCAGAGTAGAATTTTTTCAGGTTTCTTTGATGAATAGAAAGCTCAGAAGAACAGCATTTATCTAAAATATAGAAATATTTTGTAATATTATAAGTGTCTTTATCATCACTTTTTATCAATTTAAAGCATCCTTGCTAAATAAAAGCATTAATTTCTATTAATAAATGATACAGACTCCAAGCTTCTGAATGGTATAGCGTATAATGTTACAAAAGCTTTTTATTTCAGATAAATGCTGATCTTTGGATCGTTCTATTCATCAAAGCATCCCGAAAACAATGCATTCAACTGTTTTAAATATTGATGAGAAGAATAATAAAAACTCAGCAAATCAGCATATTACACTGATTTCTGAAGATCATGTGACACTTCATTACAAATCTTACTGTTCAATAACTTGACTGGCAGTGTATGACAAATGTTGGTTTCCGGTCCCCATTGACTTTAATAGCATGGGAAAAAACACTAATGTATGAAAGTCAATGGGTACCAGAAACTGAAAGTTAGGAAAATTCTGTCATTATTTACTCACTTTCATTTATGGGTGAAGAACCCCTTTAATGCCCAAAACATCCACACTACTAGACTAACATGAGTATCATCAGTTTGCGGTTAATGTTATCTTTACTGACTAACTGGGACCAAAACACAAAGCCAAGCAGTGGACTGAGATAATGCCACATGACTGCAAACAGCAGAAGAAGATAACACTAATATCATTCAAAGCTGCAGTGTTCCTATGAGGCCAAACTAAACCAACTGCACATCTAACAGAAAGTTTTCATCTAGAAGACACAGCCAGAGAAGCCTGATAAAGACATTAACTGTCTGTAACCACTGAATCCATGAAAATACATGTAATACATTATATACATGTTTAGCCCTCGTGTTATACAGCTCAATCATTTCAGTCCACGTGTCTGGAAACCACATGAATCGTGGAGCAGATACACACATTGTGTGTGTGTGTGTGTGTGTGTGTTCACCTCTCTCTCACACACACGCGTTAAAACCTTTATAACGCCACAGCATGACTTGCTAAAACACTAATTACTCTTTAACTGTCCGTCTGGCACGACTAAAAAGTCATAACGATTGCTAAACGACGATTATGCAGATTTTGGAGTGCCTGCACTACTTTTATGTCTCATGTAGACAACTTTTATCCTGTTTTGGTGGAAGTAAAAACTCATTTTATGAGCAGCTAACGTGCTAATGCTAAAACGTTCACAGAACTCCGTAAACAGCGCCAAGCGCAAACAGCAGCGAGTCTCGGAGGTTCACTTAAAGTTACAGAGTAATTACAGCGTATTTGAGTGGTTTGACTGGAGCTTTAGTGTGTTTTATTGACATCGCTGGCAGAAAGCTGTTAGCCGTTAGCCGCTAGCAGCGCGCGCTGCCCTCACCGTCTCCTCCGCGTCGATGTCGATTTTAAACGTCTGCTGCTGGAGGGTTTTCAGCGTGATCTGCATTTTCGCGTTCTTCCGTGTCGCCGTTGTGGAAACTGACCGAGGGCTGGATCGCTGGCTGTGTTGTTTTCGCCGTGGCTCATCACAGCCTGTCCGCCGCCATTACGCGCGTAAACACTCGACCGCACGTCGCCCTTACGCCGCACTGCGCATGCGCCGCGCACCGACGCGTTTGCGTCACTGCAAGCGTGAGCGAGAGCGCTGGTGGGAAATTGAGTTTTTGTTGCTTTTCCGTGACTACAGGAGGAAGTAGGAGGGTATGCACAGTGTTGGGAAGAAATCAAATCTTTTTTCATAGTTATGACAGAAAACACTGGCATCTAACAATGTTTTTTGTCTAACATACAAAAAGCAGTTAATCTTAAAAAAGAAAGCATATACATAAAACCTAAATAGGAAATAAAACAGTTATCGAACAAGCATGTGTCCTAAACTCCTGAAACATTGGTGTCTCATATTTTAGAGCAGTCAGTGCAATTTATGAAAGAAATCAGCTAAATCTGTATGTGGGTGTGTGTGTGTGTGAAAATATTCAGATGTAACCCCCTTTGTAATCGTTAACATTTTCATAAGTAACCGTAATTTAATTACACATTTCTTCTCAGTAACTGTAACATTTATTTTATAATGAAATTGTTACATGTAACATGTAACTAGTTACTTCCCACCACTGGGTATGTAAAGGAAATAATAAAATAGAAGGTATAATTACACTATTGAGAACGGGACACACAGGATTAAATAAAACATTACATCTAATAAGTAACCCCCCCCCCCAAAAAAAAAATGTTTTTCTATAACTTATTATAAAAGATGCTTAAAAGATAATTTTATAGCTGATTTTGTAATAGTTTTTCTCATTTGTTGTTGTTCATGTATATAACAAGTATCTGGTGTAAATCAATACATTTCAATAAATTCAATATTTTAAAATCAACATTTTTCATATAAATCAATATCTGCATGCAATTATATAACATACATAATGATGTTTCATATTTGGACACATACGTGTACGCTGCATATATCATTCAATATATAAATTTTTCACAAAATGGTAAGTAGCACATTGAACTAAATGTGAAATTTTGAAGTAGAAAGACTGAGATTGTATTTTCTTGTAAAATGTACTGCAATAGTCTTTTTACAGGTTTATGCCTCTCCATGTGCTGTATATGAACTATTTTTTTCATTGTATTGTTTTCATTGTATTTGTTTTATATTGTGTAAATTGAGGCTATGTCTGTCTGTCTGTCTGTCTGTCTGTCTGTGTGTCTGTCTGTGTGTCTGTCTGTCTGTGTGTGTCTGTCTGTTGGTGTGTGTCTGTCTGTCTGTGTCTGTCATCAGACGTTTCTTTGCTGTTTAAAGCCGAGCTCTTCTCGGGTCTCGTGGGTCTCCTCCTGCAGAAACACTCGTGTGAAGTTCTGATCCGCTGATCCCTCATGTCTCGCAGATATTTTTAAAAGATGATGTTATAGCTGTGAAATCAAGCACTTATAAAAGCAGCTCTGAAACACATCAACTCTTCTGTTGGGTTTCAGACGTGACCTCTTTATTACAGCTCAAACAGACAGTAACAATATTTACTTGTGTGTGCGTGCGTGTATATATATATATATATACATATACACTGTTAAATTATTAATAATTAATAAGGTTATTAATAATTTAAGTGGTTAGTATTAATAGTAGGCCTTGAGATATATCTATATTTACATATCTATATCTATTTATCTATCTCTATATATCTATATATTCACCAATTGATGCACATGACTCAAAATCTCCTGAAAATTCAAAGGCATCGCCAAGACACACAAAAGCATTTCTTGATGTTTTCATACACTCATGAGGAGGAGGATCTATTAAAAGCAGCTCCTATGGACACCCTGAAGGTCAGATGTGTTTCTGACGGCAGGATTTGATCAGAGCCGCTGCCTCGTGGATTTCATCATCAGCTTGTCATCCACTTCTGACTGATGGACTGCAGGCCGCTGGCTTCGTCCTTCACGACCCTGAAGTGCATCTCTAAAGAAGCGTTCGATCAGAACCGCATCAGGACGCTGCAAAAAGCAACAAAACAGCGGCCTGAGATTCCTGTGCTTTCTGCTGCTCTCCTCTGACCTCACACAGATGGAGAACTCTACAGATGCGAGACGCTGCTGTGGAAATGCATTGGTTCAAATTCTGGTATTTCCACACTATTTTCAGCTCATCACACTCTGTCCTTGAACACAAGCATTTATTTTCTCTCACAGAACAGCTCATGGCTTCACAGTCATGCGACGCATTACAATAACAGTCAGGAGATGTCCTCAGGGATTCGAGATAAACCTCTAAAGATGAATGACAAATGTAGAACTCACTGAAAATACTGCTTAAATCTTTGGGTTTCGAGTGCATTTGTTCTCTGTTCTAAGAAATCGTCTGTTTTCAAATATCTAGTTTAAATATATGCATGCATATGAAGATCTAGGGCATGTAAACAATCTATTCATGTTGGTTTATGTTTTTGATAACAATTATATATTATATAAAAATAATATATTAATAAAAGCTTCAAGTGCAAAAATGTAAAAAAACACAAAAAAACGTATTAAAAAGAATAAAATTCTTTAAAGTTTTTTTAAAACATCATGAACTAAAATCAATAAATATATAAATGATGCATAATTTTTTTATTAATATTTAATATTTAATGATTAAAAATTTTAAGCATTTAACAATCTGAAATAATTTCCTGTTTTACATGTTTTCTTGTCTGAAAGCAAATCTGAATATATATAGTTTTAAATCTGAATATATAAATGTAAATAGTGAAAATACAGTTATAATTCTAAATATACAGTTAGGTCCATATATATTTGGACACAGGCACATTTTTTATTATTTTAGCTGTTGACCAAAACACATTCAAGTTAGAGTTTTATAATGAATATGTGCTTAAAGTGCACTCTGAGCTTTAATTTGAGGGATTCTCAGCATAAATGGAATTACAGCTCTTTAATATGTACCTCCCCACTTTTTCAAGGGACCATAAGTAATTGAACAGTTGACTCAAAAGCTGTTTCGTGGACAGATGTGGACTATTTCTTCGTTATATCTACATCAATTAAGCAGGTGAAAGGTCTGGAGTTGCTTCTAAGTGTGTCATCTGCATTTGGAAGCTGTTGCTGTGAAGCACATCATGCGGTCAAAGATCTCTCCATACACGTGAAACAGACGATAGGCTTCAGAAACAAAACTGATCCATCAGAAAGATAGCAGGAACATCAGGAGTCGCCAAATCAACAGTTTGGCACATTCTGAGAAAAACAGACCGCACTGGTGAGCTCAGAAACATGAAAAGACCTGTACGTCCACGGAGGACAACAGTGCTGATGATCGGAGAAAGGTAAAGAAAAACCCTTTCACAACATCCAGCCAAGAGAAGAACACTCTCCAGGAGGCAGACGTGTCTACAATCAAGAGAAGACTTCACCAGAGCAAACACAGAGGCTTCACCACAAGAACACATCTAAAAAAGCCAGAGCACTTCTGGAAAAGCATTGTTTGGACGGCTGAAGTTAAGATCAAGCTGTACCAGAACAACGGGAAGAAAAGAGTCTGGAGCAGCTCATGATCAAAGCACACACATCATCTGTGAAGCATGGAGCAGTGTGATGCATGAGCTGCATGGCTTCAGTGGCTCTGAGTTACTGGTGTTTAGTGATGATGAGACAGAAGACAGAAGCAGCCGGATGAACTCTGAAGTGTGTAGAGATATACTCTCTGCCCAGATTCAGTCAAACACAGCAAAGCTGATCGAGAGATGCTTCATAGTATGAATGGACGATGAGCCAAAACATACAGCATAAGCAACCCAGGAGTTTTTGAAGGTAAAAAGTGGATTATTCTGCGATGGCCGAGTCAATCTCCTGATCTCAACCAGACTGGGCAGCATTTCACTCGATGAAGACCAAACTAAAGACTCACTCACTCACTCACTCACGCACACACACTCGCGCACACACTCACTCGCGCACACACACACACACACACACACACACACACACACACACACAATTCAGAAACGTAAAACATCACAGACGAGCCGAATTCAAGCACTGAACAGAAAACAACAGAAGTGAGCGTGCTTAGGTTATCTGATAACTTTATTACCAAGTTAAAAAAAGACAATGAATTACAATATTTACAGAATACAGAGAAATCAAAGGAATAAAACTGTAAACAACCGTCACAAGCCACCGTCAGAAATCATCAGGAGTTTCACAGAAGAAAGGCAGAACGCAGGAGATCTAGTCAAGGTCAACAGGAGGAGAGAATTAAAGGGCAACGATAGAAACTAAAGCGTGTCTATTTACAGATATCCAGTGTGTTACGATAGCAGACGCCCCGACTCTTATTTCTGATGCTTCTCTACACGCTTCTTCAGAAGGCCTGCCCTACTCCTTATGAAGGACATGGAGGGGTTTGAGCGTACAAGAGAGCTTTTTATTGTGTTTTATTCTTAACCAGACAATTTACAACAGCTTTGAACAGTGGAGAGCTAAAAAAAGCAAAAGAAACGTCTTCTATTGATTTCTATTCTTCTCTTTTTTTTTTTGTTTGCTTAAGTTAAATATCAGAACAACACTTAAAGGAACAGACCCCTTTCTGAAACAGAATCCACAGTTTCAAACACTTCGAGTTTATACACGGCTGCAAAACATCATGCAGGTTTCCCAGAATGCATCTGGGTCGGCCCTCAGCATTGCTCGGGAAAGACAATCATATCTCAGGAAAACTTTGGGAAGCCACACTTTCGGTAGCGAGAAGAGGTTTGCTTTCTGCTTTCGTGTGATAATTCAGATGGATATTGGTGGAGAGCTTCTGCTCGGTGGATCCAGAAGGGGAGCGTAAAAACATCCGCGTCTATAAGGCTTTGGGGTTTCCAGCAGCAGTACAATCTTAGCCTCACGGTTCGACGGCTTCGTGGCGTTTCTCCGCAAACACGGCGGTCAAACGGCGGAAGCCTCGGAGTCTCGTTCTGCTCAACTTCCCAGAATCGGTGCTGTTTTCACTCATCCTTCAGCTTCAGCAAATCACGTTTGGAGTAAACCACGGATCTTTGTTCCAGTGCGAAGCTACTACGTTTCTGAACTAACTGTAGAACATTTCAGAGCTGCTTGCACTCAGAAAAATATTTAGACCTAAATCTAATATTTATGCATTTGAATTGCATATAAAATCTACACATTGTTTTAATGTAAACAAACTAATAAAATTAACGTGATGCATATTTGTCAGCCGTGCATGAATAAAAACTGGTCAGATTTCTGTAATTTTACTAATAAACTAACACATTAATAATAATGAATAATGAATGCGTTTTAAACACTCAATAGCCACGTTTATATATATATTCATCATCAATAAAATCCAGTTTCTTTTTCATAAATTTTAAACTGGCTTGTTCAACAGCTAGTCATATTTAGCCATGTTCATACTTTTTAACAGAATACATTTTATATTTATTCCACTGATTACAACAGATTTATGCTGTTTCTAAAAATAATTTGTAATATTCTTTGCCACGATTTTGTTACTTGGGGATATACACACACATATGTGTATATATATTTTTTTTTTCAAACTAGTTTTGTTTTCATTTAGTTTAACCTGATGTACTAAAATTAAGCTAAAACTTAAATTAAAAAAAAAATATATATATATAGATGCACCAGAAAAAACAATAATTAATAAAAATGACAAAACAGACAACAACATTATTAAAACTTTAACTAAAATAAAAAAATTAAAATTAAATAAACTGAAAAAACTAATTCAAAATATTAAATAATAAATATTTTAATATAATATAAAAATTATAATAGTATCTCAATGATACTAAATTAACACCAAGGCAGAAATCTGACCCGTTTAATTTCTGTATGACTGACAAGCATGCGTCACAAGTTTATCAGTTTATGTTAAAACTGCAATTCAAAAACATTAATCTTACATCCAGGCCTAAATATGATTGTGAGTGTGTTTTGAACTCGGAATATTCCTTTAAACAGACCGTCAGAATCGGCAGCAGATCTACCGGAGACTGCGATCCATCGATGTCCAACACGTTAATCGTTATTAAAGTGAAGCGGAAGTGCAAGACGAGCCGGAAGTAGCCGAAATCTTCAAAAGTAGCAATTTGCTACGAGTTTTTGGGGCAAGTGTTGATACTCTAAAATCATGTCTAAAAGAATCAAACGATCTAGATAAATAAGATGACAACTATTCCTCAAGGAATTCAGCTACGGGAAGATTAACACAAGGCTAAAATGTAAAAAACAGAAACCGCCAGGCGACGTTCCGAGCGAATCCGAGACCCTCCCGTCGTCCGAGAAGCTTCCGGATGAATCGTCTCTCGTTTGAAGCGGACGTGAATCGCGACACGCCGTCTTCAAGACTATCAGCGTGTGCCATCGCCGTCGCGGAAGACATTCGATTCTCACGCATCATTCATTACGGATGCTTATTTTAATAAATCAATGTAACAAAAAAGTGCGTTTGGAATTAAAATCTCTGGTTTACGGATAAACCGGCGAACGGAGGGACTCGCGATTCGATCGGAATCTCGACTCGCGGTTTCATTCACTATTGGTTACCAATATATCAACATCTGTCCTGAGGGACCAAGTCACACTTTGTAAAATTCAGTGTAAGATTCAGCAACTGAACAAACGCGACACATCAACATCTAGCGACACTCCAAACCGGGATCGTCACATTCCACAAATCTAGCTTTTTAAACCAAATACTCAAGAAGCAGCCGATGTTGTTCTGCAACAAAACAAACGGTGAACAGACAGACGAAACAACAGAACGCATGACATTCTCTACAGCTTTCGTTTTGCTCCTAAGGGTCGTTTTTGGTCTCCTGCGTCTCTTTGTCTTCCTCAGTCTGAATCGGACACTTGGATTGGTCAGACTGATCCACAGTGTTACTGGATAGGTCCAGCCCTCTGTCAATCACAGCTGCTGGACCAATCAGAGGCAGCGCTGACAAGGGCACAGGACTGCCGTCGTTCTTGCTGCCGTTAACAGTCCTGAAAACACAAAACACGTCTCAGCTTTAACTCATTGGTTACTATTGTAAGGGTTAACCCATTTAATCCCAAATTTTTCCCAGACATGCCAATATCCAAATGATGTGTCATTAGTAATGCTTTGAAATAATCAATCATTATTTTTTGCATTTCTTTTGGAAAAGTGTGTGAAAAATTGTGTTTTATGGTCGGTGGGATAATGTGTGTACTGAATTAACATATTTCTGAAGTCATACAAACCTAACAACGCCCCTTTGCTGTTATAAATTCACTGTAAACCACGGCTTCACGGGGCTTATTGCTTTTATAAAACGGTTATTCCATATACGTAGTAAGGTTTCACAAAATAAAACAGAGCAAATAAAGTGTAATGATATTAATAAAAACAGTATTCTTCCACCAAACAATGTAGCTCCTCGGAATCAGTTGTGGTTGCAACAAAGTGGTTGCCGAGCAACACACAAACGTAAACAAAGGTGTATGTTACTTTGTAGAGTCATTTACAACAGCCAATCAGAATCAAGGACCGGAACTCGCCGTTTTATAAAAACTGTTTGATCACATTCTAGGGTTACTATTATGCATCAAAATACAACATTGATAGGAATACTGAGATAAAAGACAAAAAAATACAACATATTTCAAAACTATTACTTTTTTGTAACATACATAATACAATTTTTATATCAGTGCTAGAAGTATTACAACATCAATCTTGTAACTTATTTGTAACATTTGAACTTTTAATATAGTGCAACATTTTGTCATTGCAACATTTTAGTGCAACAACTGCAATTGGATTTATATTGTAAACCTAAACATATTTACTCATTCTATGACCACACCCTCAACAAAACTGAATATATGTGAATTCATATATTAACACTAGACACCCTAAAGATAATGTGTACTAAAAATCTTTTTCATATCTTTATGTTAACACACTTTACTAGCCTTTGTTTTGGAGTTTTGATGCAGGCATCATCTTCTCAAGGTGCAAACGGGAATTAAACTGCTCTGGTCATGTGACAATCTGCACTAAACATGTGACACTGCACATATTGTGAATCTGGAGACTCACATGCCGTGTCGAAGGACGTGTCGCTCCCATTCGGAGCCGAGCGTGAAGGTGCGGCCGCAGAACTCACACGGATAGCGTTTGACGCCGCTGCCGCTGGGAGACTCCTCAACACCTACATCACCAGAAAACACAACAAAACCGCTCTGACTTCCTGAGAGGGAAACATCCTAAACGGTCAAAAAGTCATTTGACGAAAATCTGCATCTTTCAACAGCTACAGATGTTTTTATCCACAGTACATTGCAGTGTCATTTCAGTATTATTGAGTTAAATTGAAAAACCCTCTAAAAACACATTTTCTGTTCAGTCTATATCACTTTTGTTGCATTATGCTAATATTTATGCATATTTAATAAGATAATGCTAATTTTGATATTTAAAAAAAAAGTTTAAGGCTAAACACTACAGGCAAAATCATTGGTTTCTCATGCACTGGTTAGTTTTGAGATTTCGGTCTATTTTGCTTCTATAACATCTTCTTTCAGACTAGTGAAAAGTAAACATCTAAAATACACATTTAAGTGTTTATTTTATTACACTTTATCTATTTGCAATCCTTATCAACCAGTTTTTTTCTCTTAGATACGCCAAACTTAGCAGTTCTATTCCTCTCTATATTCTGAAGGTTTGTTCATATATCATTCACTTTTATTTATAGAACATTCATTCCTAAAAACATGGCAAAAAAAAGTGTGTTTTCTGTCTGTTGACAGTATTTTCTGATTTATGGAGTGACAAAAAGAGAAATCCAAAAACCCTCTGAAAAAATCGTTAACTCGTAATATGTCAACAAAGAATTTTGAACCTGGTTTTATTCAATGTTCAGATTTATTTTCTGGAAATATATGCAAAATTGCATTTGTATATTTAAACTGTAATACAAAACAATTTTCTTAATGTACTATGATTAATCAACTGGTGAACATATGGTGATGTCTTTTTCTCTATTTACCTGTGGTGCATTGACCTTAATATAAAAAAACTCATAATACAACAACAAAAAAGGTATTTTAGCATACTGAAATTTCATTTTGGCGACAGGAGGTGAAGTGTTACTGCTATTATATTATAAAAAATATTTTGTAGAGGATTAATAATAGGGCTGCACGATAAATCGCATGCGATATATCTTCTGGTCTTCTGTTTATTCGGCTGCAGCGATAGGGATTTCCTGGATTTCTTCTGCGAGGCGTATTTGGAGTTTCTCTGGCCTTCAGATGGAGATTTACTACTGATCACAGAACCGTGCTTCACTGACAAGATGCGTGCATGAATATCGCAGCTTGTGCCTAATATCGATTGCGATTTATCGCGATTTATCATGCAGCCCTAATTAATAAAGTCTCGAGTTTTGCATCTGTTGTTGATCATCTCTACAGATGCACAGAATTTGATGAACATGAAGACCGTTACCTGTCACCTCGGTCTGGCTGCTCGTCTCCTTCTGTCTGCTCTCCGGAAGCTTCTCCTCCTCTTCATCCTCCATCAGCTCTTCCTCCTCCTCTTCGTCTGCCTCCTCTACGGTCTCGTCTTCTCCTCTCTCCTCCTCCTCCTCCTCGCTGCTGCTCACGTCCTTCGTCTTGTCCTTCATCAGCTCCAGCTGGTCCAGGTTCACCCGCCCCACCAGCTCAAAGTTACGGATCACCTGCAGACGTAAATATCACAGAAATATCAGACATGACAGAAGACTGTAGGGCTGTGACGATAAATCGATGCAGAATCAATTCGAGGATCGATTCTGAGATCTTCCGAATGCATGGCGACTCTCTCTGGAATCGATTCTGAGCTTAGATTTAACAGCAGATGGCGCTCTAATCTAGTTTTTATCCGCATACTCAAAATGCTCATGAAGAAGAGCGCTCATGCGAGTCATGTAATTTCACCTCAGCTCAGAATGCTTTTATGACACCAGACTAATGTAAACAGCCCACTGTGAACACCCTTGTAATTCGCTTCAACCTTTTCGAATTTTATGAATGATTATTTTAGGTTCAAGTGTGTGTAAGGATTTGGAAACAAGCAGAGTACGGCTGTTTCTAAAGCATGCAGCACCATCTGCTGTTCCAAACTAAGCTCAGAATCGACTCGAGAAAGAATCGCGAAGCATTCGGGAAATCTCAGAATCGATGCTGAATCATTTCTCGATGCATCAATTTATTTTCCCAGCCCTAACAGATTGTGTCATATAGCGCTTTTAACCGCACAGATTGCGTCATATAGCGCTTTTAACCGTACAGATTGTGTCATATAGCGCTTTTTGGGGGGGTGGGCCCACGATAAGACGATGGGGTGCATTGAAAGACGATGATCATGTATCGACGATAGCCAGAGATAATGTCAAAAGCATTAAATAGTCATAAATATCCTATTGTCATTATTAAGAGTATTTGGCATTTCCAATTAATGTAGGCCTGTTACATTCTGGCTATTATTATTAGGTTACTTTTATTATTAAATTAATATTACAATTAATTTGCGCCGCAACAATTTCATAGCGCATCACCGCGCTGTGAGGATAATAATTAGCTTAGGCTACTCCTCATTGAAAATGTTTTAAAAATATATTTTAAAACCGGTCTATTATAGCCTACAATGAATTATAGGCCTATAGCCTAAATAAAATTGTTAACACTTCAGAAATCAATGAAACTTAATAGCAGCTTTATTTCAAGCACCAACTTTCAAAAACAACCTGTTCAACACGAAATACGTTTCTTCTCATTTTTTCCGCTATGTTCGGGCCACAAGAGAAACATTAAGGAAATAAATTAAAACAATTATATACCGCATATTAACTGGGTGATTCGTCTCTCGTCGTCTCTGAGAGAATATGCGCCCTTAATGCGTGCGTCGTCAGATGCAGAAAGCACCGCCTGTTTTTACTTTCACTTTCATGGTTTCATAAGCCTTGCACAAAGTTTGCACGTTGCTTGTATGATATCCACTGGCTCGCCTTCACGGTTTAAAACAGAAATATTTCTAATATTGCGACCCACCCCCGCTAAATCCACGCCGCGGATTTGCGCTACGCCACTGATTGTAGGGCTGTGACGATAAATCGATGCAGAATCAATTCGTGGATCGATTCTGAGACCTTCCGAATACATTGCGATTAATTTCTCGATTCGCGATGCATGGACTTATTTTCCCAGCCCTAGAGGACAGACCTTGTGCTCCTGGCGCAGGTGGATCTCCAGCTCATGCAAGAGTTTGCTGTCATAGTAGCAGAGCTGACACTGGTAGGGCTTCAGCTCCTCGTGTTTCTGGATGTGCTGCTGCAGGTTCTGCTCGCTGGAACACGTGAAGGTGCATTTGTGACAGCGGAAAACCAGGCCGTCCAGATGACGAGACAGCTTCGAGCGAGACACCTCCAGTGGGACCACGCGCTCCTCTGAGAACCATAAAAACACCACAATCACACTCTGATGCATGTCACGTTAATGCACTTTTGAAGTGTGGCCTTAAATGACCAACTGACCTACATCATCTTCACATATTCATGCATATTTAATTATGTGACTCTGGAGCACAAAAGCAGTCATAAGTAGCACAGGTATATTTGTAGCAATAGCCAACAATACATTGTATGGGTCACAATTATACAGTTTTCTTTTATGCCAAAAATTATTAGGATATTAAGTAAAGATCATGTTCCAATTATATACCGCATATTAACTGGGTGATTCGTCTCTCGTCGTCTCTGAGAGAATATGCGCCCTTAATGCGTGCGTCGTCAGATGCAGAAAGCACCGCCTGTTTTTACTTTCACTTTCATGGTTTCATAAGCCTTGCACAAAGTTTGCACGTTGCTTGTATGATATCCACTGGCTCGCCTTCACGGTTTAAAACAGAAATATTTCCAATATTGTGACGCACAATAATGCACAGATTGCACACCACTCAGTAGATTTTCAAATATTGTCCGATCCTAACAAACCATACATCAATGTTAAGGCTTATTTATTCAGCTTTCAGATGATGCATAAAACTCAATTTCGAAAAATGTACCCTTATGACTTTTTTTGGCCCAGGGTCACATATACTGCTAATTTGGATATTTGGAGAAGAAGAAAAAAACAGTTTAAGGTGGGACCGTAGAGGTAACAAAGCATATCTTTAAAAAGTTTGTTTCTCCACTTCAGCAGCACTTGCATACACTAAACTTTACAGTTTTATTCCTGTCTATATTCTGAAGGTTTTTACTGAGGGGTTTGTTCATATATCATTCAAACTGATTTTTACATTTTACTCCTAAAAACATGGAAAAAATGTTTATTTTTAAAGGCTGTGAGTTTTTTCTCCACTTCAGCAGCACTTACATACACCAAAACTTACAGTTTTATTCCTGTCTATATTCTGAAGGGTTTTATAGAAGGGTTTGTTCATATATCATTCACCTGCTTTTTTATTGCACTTTACCTATTTGCATCTGTATTATCCACTTCAACATACACCAAACTTGTTTTTTTATCTATAATTTGAAGGTTTTTATAAAGGGGTTTGTTCATATATTATTCACACTGATTTATACAACATTTTATTCCTCAAACACAGTGAAACATCATTTTTAAACATCCTCAGACATGATTCATGTCACGTTAATGAGTTTCTGGAGTGTGGCCTCCAACTGACCCACATATTCTGAAGTCAAAGTCTTAAAATAATGAAACTTAAAAACGTAACCTTATTCTTAATGTAACAGCGAGCACAGCAGTGTGCCAAGTTTCCAGTGTCATTCACTTCCAGTTATTTTAGCTGTACAAAACCAGTCTGTTACGTTACTTGTTGTTTCAAACTGATATTTATCATATTTTAATTAGTGCTGTCAAACGATTAATCGCATTCAAAATATATATATATATATTGTTTTTACATAATATATGTGTGTGTATTGTGTATATTTATTATGTATATATAAATACACACACATACAGTATATATTTGGAAAATATTTACATGTATATATTTATATAATTTATATATAAACATATTTAATACATAAACAACATTTTTCTTAAATATATACATGCGTGTGTATATTTATATATACACATGATAAATATACACAGTACACACATATATTATGTAAACAAAAACTTTTATTTTGTATGCGATTAATCGTGATTAATCGTTTGACAGCACTAATTTTATTTATTATCGTTATCATAAACACACTGATTTGTTGCTCAAATGGTTTTACAGCAGTTATTTGAATCAAAAGTCTCGCACATTTATATGAAACAGCCTACTTCTGCATTGAAAAATAAGGTGGATAGTTACATTCCAACAATAGCATGTGCAAAAAAAACAAAACAAAACAACCATTCGATTGAGGAAGTTGCATTTTGAAACAAGGAAGATAAAGAGGAGAAATATCTCATGATCAGAATTTCCTCAGTAACTGACCTCTGTGCAGGACGATGTGGTCGATCATGCTGCTCTTGTGTTTGGTGTGGTACAGACAGAAGGGGCAGCGCAGATCTTTGGGCGTCTCCTCGGGGCCGCTGGTGTGACCAGCCTCCACATGCAGCGTAAACGTGGACCTGAGCAACACACACCACATTCACTCACATGATAACTACTCTCACACAGAAGACTAGAGAGTCAGCCACATCTATGGTGTTGTCCTGTTACAGTCCAATCTTGAACTATCTAGATTACTCTAGACCAATGTTTCCAAAACTGGGGTTCATGGGTTGATGAAAAGCTAATAATTAATGAAATCCTAAAATTGTAATATTAAAATATAGTCAAAATAAACAAAAATTAAAATGAGTTGCAAAAAGGTAATTATTAATAATTAAAAATATAAAATTAAAATAAATGTTAAAATAAAAAGTATCTTTCTGAAGAAAAGATAAATCGTAAAAATGTAAAATTAAAATAAAGAAATCAAATTGAGTTGATTAAAAAAATGTAAATTAAATTTTAAAATAAAAACAATCAAAACAAACACGTAATAAAACAAAATATTAAAAAAGACTTAAAAAATTTTTTTTAAATTCAAATAATTAAAAAATAAAAACTAATGAAAAAACTAAATGAAAAGCTAATGATCAAATAATAAAATATTTAAATAATAAAAAAAAAAAAAATACTAAAAGTAATATTTTATAATGTAAAATAAAATTAAAATACATTTCAAAAGAGAAACAAAATAAAAAGCTAACTAAAACAGATTAAATATTTGATTTGTCGTGTATAGGGTTGCAAAAAGGTGAAAAATTTCCAGTAAATTTCGGAAATATTCCAAAAAAAACTTTTTTGGAAACTTTACAGGATTTTTTGGGAATATTCCAGGGATTTTTGGAAAGTTTCCGGAACAAACAAATAAACAAATAAAGATTATCCCAGTGTGTGGTTCTCCGGCGGCTCATACTGTTCTTACTTGTAGCAGGTGAAGAAGGAGCAGTCCTTGCATTTGAAGAGCTTCTTTCCTCCGTGCCGGTCGCGGTAATGTCTGCGCAGACTCTGCATGTAGCCGGAGCTGAACTCGCAGAACTCACAGGTGAGGATGGAGTCGGGCCGGGCCTGAGGAACGGGACTCTCGAGCGGCGGCGGCGGACTGGAGGAAACCTCGGCCTGGACGCGAGACGCCAGCTGGAAGTGACTCAACTGCTGCTGAACATCTGCTGGCTCCAGATACCCCGCAGACGCTGAGACGACAGCAGCGAGACAGAGACATCAGCGTCTAGACGCCGCTTACACCTGCTATTAACATCTGCCTCAGCTCATACCGACATGTGCTTGATTCTGTCGCACACTGAATCTAACCATTAATTAATTAACACTCAAAGCCCTTGTTTTAGCACAATAATTACATGTTGAGCGAGTGAGATGTGGCCACGCGTCGCTCACACTTAATGTAAAAAAAAACATATTTATACATTTCATATTATGCATTAACTGTTCAATATTATTACAATTTAAAACAGCTGTGAATATCTGTTAAACTGTAATGTATTTCTGTGATGTGCAGCTGTATTTTCAGCATCATTACTCCAGTCTTCAGTGTCATATGATCTTCAGAAATCATTCTAAAATGCTGATTTGCTGCTCAAAAAACATTTATTATTATTAGCAATGTTGAAAACAGTTGCGCTGCACGATATGTTTGTGAAACCGTGATACATTTTATTTTTCAGGATTCACAGATGAATAGAAAGTTCAAAAGAACAGCATTTATTTGTAATAGAAATCTTTTAGAACATTATTAATGCCCAGACTTTCACTTTTGATCAATATAATGTGTCCTTGTTCAATAGAAGCTAATTAATAAAAAAATCTTACTGGCTTCAATATTTTTCACCCTTTTGCCAATATTGGGAATTGCATGTATAATTGTTGCATTTAGAGTACAATTTTCTGTTGTTTTTTAATTATATTCAAAATATAAAAATCTGTTTCTTCACTAAAAGAATAATGATATTTCACATGTATGTCATTTTCAGCATCAGAGTGTTTTTGACACTGTAAAGCTGCTTTGACACAATCTGTATTGTATAAAGCGCTGTATAAATAAAGCTTACTTGACTTCTGCATTGACCTTGAAGGACTCCCAGTGTTGGGTCTTACCGGTGCATTGTTGGTCTTTACTGTCACTTTTCATCAATATAATGCATCCTTGTTAAGCAAAAACACTAATTAATAGAAAAAATCTTACTGATTTTAAACACTGGAATGAACAATATTTTTCCCCCTCATGCCAATATTTGGAATTTTACTCTAAATGCATGTATAACTGCTGCCAATTATAACTAAAATGTTCAATGCAAGAAGTCAAACACTAAAGAATTGGTCTGTTTCCACATGCACGTCATGTTCAGCACCAGGGTGTTTCTGCACCGACCTTTCACCCCAGTGTTGGGTCTTACCGGTGCATTGTGGGTCGAGGGCCGTGTTCTGCTCGTCGTGTTCGGCGTTGGGTCGTGTGGAGCGCAGCGCGGCTCCAGCTCTGAGTTTGGGCAGCGTGAGCGTCTCTCCGTGCTCCTGCAGCGAGTGCTCCTTCAGCTGGATGATGGTCATGGTGGAGAACGGACACGACATGCACTTATACGTGTGTTCACCTGCAACACAAACACACACCGCCGCATTAACACAAACCAGCTCTGTGCAAACATTGAAAGAGCATTCTGGGATATCTTACAGTTTTCCTCAATCACTTTGGCATCTTTTTTTTTTGTGTTTGTGATATCTGATTAATCTGTCTCTCTCACAGATTTACAGCGGAAGGGCTTCTGATGTCCATGGTGTGACTGGACGTGACGGTCCAGACTGGAGAGAAAAGACAGCGGTCAGAAACACACATATGGAGGAGAAAAATGCATCAGATTAAAATGGAAAAAGAGAGTTGCTAAATCCTTAATGAGCGACATTCAGTTCTTTTCCACTTAACATTTTGTTCAGTAAGATGGAGCCACATCCTAGTGCTTAATGTTCAGTGTTATTTTAGTACTATTTATATACCATTACAGTATAATTGATATTTTGAATGAGCTTTTATATATTTACGTTTTCATTTAAAATTTAGTTTAAGATTTAATAGTTTTGTTTATTAGGTTTTTTTTAAATTCTATTTCTATTTAGAATTATTTTTATTTCAGTTTTAGTTTTAACAATTTTAACACTTCAACTTAATTTAATTTCAGTCAGTTGCCAAGGCAATAATAATTTTTTATTCATGTTTTTGAATTTTACAAAATAAATTCCCTATTTAACTTTTTTTAATTATCCAAAAACAAACTGTACAATTACATTCAACAAAGAATGAAAAGAACATACTAATAATAATACCCACCTGATTAATGAAACTGATGAAATAAACAAATAAATAAAATACAAAAATTCAACTAA